CCTAATCTCCTAGTTGCAAAAATTATTGGAATATTGTTTAAAATAAAAGATTGAAAACATGTTAAAGGCTTGCATATCATATATTCTTCTTTGGTTATGCCTCATTTGTCTTATTGCTCAAAAATCTGGGAAAATGCAAGTAAAACAACCACTAATAAGTTAGTTAAGTTGGAAAAAATAAAAAAGCTATCAGGCTTATTCAAAAGGTGGGATACCGTGAACCAACTGATAAACTCTTTATTCAAAGTAATACATTAAAAATAAAAGATATTGTTTATATTTAAAAAACTGGAGATAATGTTTAAAACATTGAACAAAAGTCGTCCTTCTGGTATTCAGAAATTATTTAAACTAAGAGAGAATAAATATAATTTGCGAGGTTTGTTTATATTTGAATGTGCAAAAGAGAAGAGCCAGATAAAGTCTAGATGTGTTTCAGTTATTGGTGTGAAACTGTGGAATGAATTGAATGATGATTTTAAGAAATGTCCTTCTTCGGTGAGCTTTCAAATGTAAAATGATAAAACCTTAAATCTAGATTTATAAATGTATTGTGAAGATATCTTGGTAGGTTGTCAGGTATAAAAATAGGGTAGACAAGAATCAGCTTTGCTGCAGCCTGGTCCTTTATAGGTTTGTTTATTGTTGGTTTTTTTTCCTTTTATTGTTTCCTGTGTTTAATGTGGGCAATTTACCAAAATAAAGTGATTGATGATGAGAGAACCAGAAGATCATCACCTACCTCCATGGCCAGAGCAGCCGTTTGCTGGTCATAGTGATTCAGGAGATTGGGCATGAAGGTGGTGTTGTAAGGCAAATCCTGGCACATTCTCAGTCTGATGGGCTCACAGCTGAATTCACTGTGGCTCTCTATAGACTCCATGTGAGGGGAACCCGCAGAGAAGAGGAGCAGGAGGAGGAGGATGGAGAGATAGCAGGAAGGGACGTTTTGTCTGCAGCCATTTATTACAGTTTTTGAACGCCTGTGTTTTCCGCTGACAGGTGTTTTCTTTTTAACGCTCGACATACTGTCAGTGATTCAAGTTGTTCAGATCATTCTTATTTTGACAGCAGCTTGGTAAGAGAGAAACATGTCCAGTTTGAAAGTGAGTGATGGATGTGAAACCCATAAACCATCACTAAAAGGGAAATCCACAGTCAGGATGCATGCAGTCTAAATTACACAAGGGAATTTCAAATTCAAGAGAGCTGCACTTTGTGGAAATCTTCTCATCGTGTTTCAGAATCTCTAAACTGATTTCCCATTATTGGATATTCCCTCTGAATCCCAGTGCTCCACTGGTCAAAGGCCTGTAAACCTGGCTCCATCCCAAAGCTGATTGTAAAGCTTCTATATGCAAGTCGTCTCTTGCCATTTTCTTTCTGGTCTTTATTCTTTCAATTCCTTATCTGTTGTTCTCCAGAGATAATGGCCAGAACCGCCGAGGCTCCAGTGTGTCATAATCACCAACAATCCTGCAAAGACATAAAACATCTCCTTTTAAAACATCTCCTTTTAAACCGCCAAACTGCTTTGGATCCTGAAAACTGGTCTTGCAAGTTTAATATACAAAGAGGGGATTATTGCCTAAAAAAGCAAAGTGGATTTCCTTGAAGTTCACTGCTGCAGATATCATCTCTGATCAGCCACACCCTTCTTTACATAAATAAAATCATCCTATTACGATACATTTTTACATCACCCAAATTGGTGCAAAGCCGATTTTCCTTCCTGACAAGAATGTGTGTTTGCATTCTTAAGAAAAATTGTCTTGGCTTGCCTCGGTGTCAGATTATCTTCTTGTACGAGAGCTGAGTCAGCGGGGTCAGGTTGCACACTACCTGAAAGTGTGTTCAAAGTGAGCCACTGCTGTCAGCTCAGACGCCTGTGTGGACGTACACCTGTGGATGAGCGGCTCAGACAGTCCCCCGCCTCCCCTCCTGTTTGTATGAGCTTCACCAGGCAACAGCGATATGGAGCACAAAAAGTGCTATTAAAAATAGTAAGAAAATTCAACAGTATTTTATGTGTCATCTAATTAAAATCAAATTTAATGCAATATTAAAATTTCTTAAACTAAATGTTGGAATAATACAGTGCTCTATACTCTGATTTAAGTTCTTTTTATTTTATTTGTATAAAGCCAATTCAACACAGATATTAACCTGAGGCAATTTAAAATGACAAAAACATTAAATTTATGTACAAAAACAATTATTTTGATCTTTTAATCGTACAACTTCATTTTAAAATGGCAGTGATCTACAGAAATAAAGTTCAGCCGATAGTATTGATCAGTCATTGATTTTGCAGTCATTCCTTGTTTTGGTCAAAAGGAAAAACTCCTTTTAACAGGGGAAGACTTCAGCTGAACCCAGTATGACGACATATCATAAGCACAAAAATAAAAAAACAAAACAAAATAAAAAAGCTATTCTAGGAGTACTTTTTATGTGAAAGAGTACACACAGTAGTAACTCCCACAAATTTTGAAGGGGAAGACTGATAGAAAACAATATTAAATCAACCCACATACTGCAGCAAATGACTAATTATTTAAGTTGTAATTATTAAAATAATTATTTCAAAGTATGGTGCTGAAACACTTCATAAATTGATTGATTTTTAAATTTCATAATCAGTCAAATATACAACTTAAAAATGTGTCTAAATTCTACATTCATTTCAACCTCCAAGTAGGAATGGATTTCCTTATCAATTAATAACCAATTTACTCTGATAATAATGACATGCAATATTTCAAATGTGTACATCATTGCGGCACCTTTTGCGCTCCATAAAAGCAACGCTCCTGTAATGTTCCACACTGACCCACTGCGCGACTTTCCGTGTTGCTGAATTGTGAACTTTACAGCTCATCCGCTCCACTGACGCATCCCAACGCAACACGGACGGTTCTTCTGCTTTGCGTGACGACGTCGCGCGCGCCAGCTGCTGTCAGCCAGCAGCCATTAACATGGTTACGTTGATTAGTAATTGAGGTGAACACCTGCGTAACGTTGACGGCGAGGCGCGTCGTCAGGAGAAAATGAAGCGGGTGGTTTCAGAGCGCGGACGTTTCACGTCGCTCTGTCCACGGAAGCATCTCCGTTGTTGAAGCGACAAACCACAGAAAAAAAAGGAGAAAAATCTTCACCAGTCCGTTTGTCACCGCAGCAACAGCGCGTCGTTTGCGCACATTTTCCTTTTGAAGCGTTTATTGTCCGAGCCTGCGCGCCTGTTCCACAGCTCAGGATCAAATGAGGGCGGCGTGACGTTAAAGGAGGAAATAAATGCTTTACCTTGTGTGTAGAACAGCGAGCGGTTCGGGTGGTCCCGGGCTCTGTTCACCGCAGTACGGCGCTGGTCCGTTCTGCTCTCCTCTGCAGCTGGCTGCCTGCTACCTCGCTGCCCACGAGTCATCGGGAGTGCGCACTGAGCGGGAGCGCGCAGGCGAGCCAATTGACTTCATAGTGTGAGTGGATGTGGGCGTGTTGGACCTACAGTGGGCTGCTTTAAAATGCATCTCGACTATAATGGAATACTAATGAAGCCTAATGCGTTCTGGTGTTTTGACTGCGTGACTGGACTGCAATATTATAACCAAAATATGCGTCATAAATATGAGCTTTGAAAAGAGCTGCATTTTATTTATTTACACTTCTTTTTTTTGTGCTTCATAGGGTGACACAATTTAGCTTTTCTCATTTCTCACAGATTGAAATGTGTTTAAGAATGAATTCGTCCCAGTAGTTCAGTTCATCTCATGGATGTTATTCAGAGAAGCCCAGAACATTTCTGACCTCTGCTTGAACTATTTTGAGAATTATGTCTTAAAATTGATAAACTAAAAAACACAAATAGCGTTTCTCTAAATAGAGACCATTAAAACTGATTTTAGTACAGAAATGTCGTGTTATGTCTCACACAATGGTAGATAAAACTCAATTGACATTTGTCCAGCAGGCAGACAGTGACACCTTCCTCGAAGCGACTAAGCCACAAATAGTCACCGCTAAAGACTTTGGCTGTTCAGAATGCTAAAAACAGAAAGTTGAGTGGAAGGAAAACATGTGGAAGAAAATGCAATTTGACTCAAAGGTTCACCAACCACAACAAATATCCATGATTTGTATGACAAATGTCGCATATGTTGTGTCTCCTGGACCGACAAGAAACCAGAGTTATCTGAGCCAAGAAGATAAAAGATTACACTGTTGTTCAATGTGGGTCCAAAGTCCTTTTTTCAGATGAATATTGATTTTGCTTTTCATTTGAAAAGCAAAGCGCTGGAATCAGAGTGGAACAGAAAAAGTGAAGTTTGATTTGGGTGTCATCTGCTGGTTTTGGACCAATCAAGTCCAAAGTCAGTGGACGAGTCGACCAGGAAACATGATTATGTCCTTCATTATCGCTAAGCCAAGATGATGTTAATAGACATAAGTGCTTAAATATATGTGTGAAATGTTGCTGTTATAAATTAGTTTAATGCTTTTCATTTAGAATAAACACTTTTGTTTATTCTCTAAGTTGTTAAGACATAATAAAACTTTTTGTTTTTCAGTTTGGAGATATGTGTGACTAAATGACATTGATTAAATGCTAATATAAAAAGCAAAGAATATGTAATCAGTTATAAGTCACTTGATAAAATGTCACATATTTTACTTATATCTTTAAAGTCCTCCTTAAAATTATTAAAAGTTCTTGCTGCAGCTTGACACTGTTGTGACTGTATTAGTCAACACTTATGTCAATATTTGTCCTGCAGAGCTTCAGGATTAGCGTTTTGCGCTATATTTTCCTTCCACACAGTTAAGCACGGCCCTAGATTAACCGTTTCATGGCTGATCTGATCCTGATCCACTCCGTCACAGAGTTGTGGGGGGTCCGGCTCAGGCTGCTGACCCACATTCTGGTTCTGACCTTTTAATATGACCCCACTTAACAATGACCAACCTTACAGAGCATGCTTAAATACACTGAGTCCAAACACAGCTTTTCAGATTTAACTGTGTTTTTTAATGTATGTTGTTCAGAATACATTTCTTTACCAGCATATTTGAATGTTTCTCTTTAATCATTTTTTTAACCATTATCCATCCAAGTGGATGGATAATGGCAAACGATGTAGAAAATGAGACAAATGGAGTTAAAAATGTCCAACATACCCTGAATACAATTTTTAAAACAATGCAATTACAGTAAGATGTATATAAAAAACTGGTAATTATCAGTTTTGTTTTTAATTAAAATATGTGCAATATTAGAGCAGCCGCACCCCAAAATGCTGCTTGTTTCATTTACCTTCCTGTTTAATGTCAATAGTAAAAAAAATAAAAATAAAAAAATGCAGTTTACTATTTTATGGAATTAAATTGAATAGAAATCAAAGCTGAATGTAGAAAAGAACCTCATGATCTTATAATTTTTAAGGCATGTTAGATGTTATGGAGTGGTTAAAAAAAGTAAACAAACTGCTGAATGATTACTTTTACAAACAAATAAAAATCAAACTAAAAAACTGTCTTCATAAGCACTGGTTTCATATTAAGGAGGCCAATTTAAGACATTGTCACATTTACACACACATATACTATATCATTATATCTATATCATTTATTAAGCACATATTAACCTTCATATGGGCTCTTTAAGATCCCCAGTTGAAATGGACAGACTTCTACAGACTTCATGCTTCAGTATTGAAATGTTTTCTCATAAGGCGACGAGTTTGTGGGGAGTTTTCAGTCTCTTCCTCCAACTGTGATGAAAAAGGAAGGAAAATGTGACAATATGAACAAATCTGTTTTAGTACAGTGCAATGGCAGAAATATTTATTATCTACAACTACCTAGTGAGTTTTATGTTCAATTGAAATGTGTTATCATAAAAATTCAACAATGGACAATCATTATTATAAGGAAATTACTGGACTCAAAGCTTCTCGGTATGGTTTATAGAAAACCAATAGACAATACATGAAATTAAATAAAATGTTAAACAGAAATATCTCAGAACATTTCAAATTTCAGTGGCTTAAGTGCATTGGAGATTTTTTTTTTTGCTTTAGCAACTCAGTAGTAAATAAAAAGTCATCAAGACTTTTTGTGTTAGAGTATAAATAAATAATCTTCATGTTCTATAAGGGGCAGAAAAAAAAATCACAATTTTCAGTAAATATTTCATTTGTATAATTATATGTGCATTAAGACAAAGCATTGCAGGTTTAACTTTTGTACAACTGAAAGAGAACATGTCCTATTAGTACAGAAATCTCAAGTATACATATTTAAAATCTACATTCATTTATTTAGTTACAACCTAAAACAGAAGAAGAATTGCCTTGACATATTAAAAGGCTCATTATTATTATTATGGTGCATTTAATAGAAGAAGAAGACTAAATAAATTTACTTCATGCCTCTATAGTGATGCATAATTTCATTTTTTGTCTAAGCTAAAAAAGCTGAAAAGTATGTCTGTTGATAGTTCCTGGCTGACTTATCACAAATTATCCAACACATGAATAGGTTCTGTGTCTGAATAAAACCAAGCCAGAACCAGTTTGACTTTGTGAGTCAGCAGGAGATGCAGCGTGTCGCAGACCACAGGTAGAGCCTGGAGCCCTGCAGACTCACCTGCTCTTTGATGTAGCTCTTCCCACACGGCGCGATGCCTCTGAGAGCCAGTCCAACCACGAAGCACCACACCGACAGGCCGGCCTCCGCTGCAGACAGCACAGCACAGGGGATCCACAAGGCCAGGGTGGTTTCCTGACCCACAGCCGGAAGTGGAGAAAGCAATAATAAATCATATAGAATTGAATAAAAAGCATTAAGCGATGCAGCTTCCACTCACATAGATCCGCGTTGTATCAAACGGGCACTGAGCGCTGACAGGTGAGCGAGCGTTGATGGGCACCACCGTGTCGTTGCATCCCACCATCAGACCGCTCCCGTTGTAGGCGACGGTGACGCTAATGGCTACCAGAAGCCCAGCGCTGCAGGCAGCTGACAGCAGGGCGTTCAGGAAGGACGCCATCAGAAGCCCTATTATCTGAGGACACAGAGGAAGCGTCATGAAAGGTGGGAAAATAAAACCCAACCTGATGTGTTTCAGTATCTGGAGACGTGTTAAAACTCTTACCAGCTTAAACTTATGAAGGTTTCTTGAAACCACAATGGCAATAATCCCAGAGGCAATGCTCTATGAGACAAACATGAGCAAAGTCGACTTTATTAGACTCTGGAGTAGCAAGGAATCCTAGCCCCAGGTGGTGAAACTGAATAATTAATATGGATGTTTGGATTAAAAAAAAGAGTGAATTAAATCAGAATGCTGAACATCGAAACAGAAGCCATCAACAAAAACTAAGTCTAATTTTGTAATTTGTAGCTTGTTACCCTCATACGTCCTATCGGCCTTATTTATGACGCTCATATCCAATCTGAAGAAAATCTCAGAAAAAGAAGTGAAGGTTCACACCATCTTATTGCTGACGAGTGTTAGTTTGTCTGATAAATGAAGGTAATGAGGCCTGCCCTGCAGGGACAGCTGATCGGTCTGAAGAACCAGCTCCTTTATGACGGGCAAGTTCTGTCTTGATGGCAGAGAAAAACACACAGCAGTATGACTGCACAACCAGGCCGTAATCAGCTGGGATTTATGTCTTATCTGTTTTATGTTGTTGCTCCAATGCAGAAGAGAAAAAAAATCAGTAGGCTGACGGAGGCTAAACATAAATATTTCTTGTAGAACAATAAGTAAAGAAGGAAAAACACTAATAAACAGTGAAGAAGAAATAACTTTTTTGGTTGAGGCATCAATATTAGAAGTTGCCTGTATTTATCTCAACAATCTCTGCTTCATATTAATCTGACTGTTTCTTGCCCAGAAAATCCAAGTGAGTGGTTCTGAAAGATTAGATGACTTATAAAATGTATTCAATCAGCTTCAAGTTTAGGAATCAGTGTAAGTCATGGTGCAGAAAGACAGACTTTATTCAAATAATTAAATTATTGCAAATAGGTGCATTGCACAAACAAAGTGAAGAGAAAAAAAAAAACTACACATTGATTTATGATATCCCCAAACAAAATCTAGTCCAAACAACTTCCTTCTGAAGTCAACTAATTAGTACTTAGAGTCCACCTGTGAAATTAAATATTCAGTGGGAACACTGGCAAGTCAGTTGAATTATTTAAAAAAATACTTCCTGTTATGTAAGGATCAAAGAAAATGTGAAAGAATGAACAAAAAACATGACATGTCTTCTGTGAAACATGGCAGCATTATGCTGTGGGCTTGGTGTTCTGCAGCAGGGACAGAGAAGCTGATCAGTGGAAAATATCTCAAGAGTCTGAAAATGATTTGACTGGGTGATGGAGGTTCACCTTCCAGAAGGATCAAAACTCATCACACAGCCAGAGCTACACGGACCAGTTCAGCTGAAATGATTTATTCATTCGTTAGATCTAAATCTAATAAAATTACACATGTCCTCTGTCCAATCTTGTTTTGCAAAGAAGATTGGATTAAATTTGGACTTTCTGAATTAGTGGTTCATAATCAGAACCACTAGAAGATTTAACTGAGTGTTATTTGTTTAACTATATACAATATCTAAGAGTTTAGCACCTTTCCCTCTCCTTCAAAAATAGATTTAATGGATGTAAATAAAATATATGGAGATGCATTCTGTGCCAAGTTCAGCTGCAGAATTTTTATGGTTTTAAAAAAATACATCTTGTGTAATTTTGACAATGTAAACATGAACCTATAGTTGCATAGAGTGTTATTATCAAACCAGAAAAAAAAAATCAATAAGCAATTAGAGAAAATGTGGCTGATGTGTAATTCCCCTCTGCTGCCTGGAAAAGAGAGAAAACCAAAGAACAGAGGAAATAAATGCTGTAACAAAGAGATGGACCTGGACAACTAAAGAAAAAAATATATATAGCGAGACAAAGGAGTAGTAAAGGTTTATCAAAAAAAGAAATAAGTGCTGCCAGCCACACACCGTGTGTCCTCAGATTTGAATGAGAACAAACATTTAACCAATATTGTTTGAAAAGACAATAATCAAACACAAGCTACACGTAACACGACTGTTGATAACTGCATTTTAAAAGCAAAATGTCTGACGCAGTAACCTACCAGCAGGCCAGAGGTGACAGAAATGATGTTGGCGACAGTGTATTGCGTACTAATGTGCTGACTGGGTTTGGAAATGTGGCGCAGGACGCTGCCATGGACGATGGCTCCCAGGATGAAGTTAATATGACCGACCAGGATGAGAACGAGCCCCTTTTTCATCAGCCGCCCTGGCCCTTTGTCCTTATCTAGGGAACAAAGACACAAGGTTGAAGAGATTTTACGTTTGTTTTTAATTAGTCAAATAAATGTAACTATATAATTAAATCATATTGGAAATAACTGGGTTAATTTGAACTGAATAACGACCAAATTGGATTTCATATAACTAGACCTAATTTGTCTTTTTCTGGTCTTGTATGGCTTTGAGGTGTCGTTCAAGGTGAATTTATGCTGTAATAATAATAATCAAATATCTTATAATGTAGCCAGTTTCATCTTAAAATAAAAAAATACATTTGGGTAATCACATAATTAAAAAATGTCACTTTATTAGTTTTGAAGAGGGCTAAATGTAGAATCAACATTAATTTTGAAAGGACATCATTTTTGAAACATTTGATTAAGAATGGAACATGAAAAATATTTTTTTCTCCCCTATTGATGACTGACTTATTTTTTTCTTTGGCAATACCAAAACTAAAGTCTTCTTATAATTGCTGACTAATCATTTGCCATGTTCCCACTTACATTTAGTCAATTTACATATGAGTAAGATAAACATTGGAAAGCCTCCTCTTCATCATCATAATCTGCATCTTCCTCCCCAGATTGAAGCTAAACTCCAACCAGGCTGCTCCAGAACCTTAATATTACTTCCAGTCAGAAGAAAAACGTAAAAAAATAAAAAATAAAACACTATTTTAAACCTAAATCTGCCAAGAGTGTGAGATTAAATGTGTATAAACCAGTGGATTTGTACAAATTAAACAAAGCAATCTGCATTTAAAATAGTTCTAATAAAATGCTAACTTGATGCATGGAAAGTTGAGCTAAACATTGACTATTTTTTCAGGCTTAATCATTTTCAAGAAGAAGCTCGTTAATGTTCATTATTCCACAGGTTGCAACAATCACATCTCTGCGCACAAAGCCTCTGCGGACTGCCGGCAGATTCCCGTCTATTTACCCAACAAACGACGCAGACATTTCAGAAACAATGCGCTCTGCGCTCGGAGGCCTGCTGTGAATTACAGCAGTGGAGACAAAGCGTGGACTGCAGCCCTTGACCCCAGTTTGAAAACACGACTCTAGATCCACGACATCTACCAGAACACCAGAACTCACCAAAGCTGCACATTTCTCTGCCGCAGGCTCAAGTCTTTCTGCTCTTTATTGTTTCGCTTGTCCACAGAAAAGGCTCAAATAAAAGCTTCTTTAACCGCTCCGTCCCACACGGACGTCCCTCTGTCCACTTCCTGGTTGACGTAATTTACCTGTGCTTCACCTGCGACGTGCTACGCGCGCTCCCCGTTTATTAGAAATATTGGAAATTGGAGTCCAAACATATTTTAAAAAGTTGATTTAAATTATTATACATTTTATTCAATTAATTACATTGAGCCAAAATATTTTTTTTGTGCAGAATTTAAATGATACATAAGAGCAATAAAAATATTTTCTTCACAGGGAAGCCACAAAAAGGTCATTGCTAAAGATGCTGTTTATACTCAAGCTTATTAAAGGAAAGCCGAGCTGAAGAAAAAAAGTGTGGTAGAGAAAGTTGGACAAGAGAAGAACATTTCTACTCCCGAACCTGAGAAACATCAGACATGTTTTACCTGGATGACCAGTGTTGCACTTCCTTCCAGATGAAGGTAAACATCACATTTTATTAGTAAATCCAGGCTGAACAGTCTGGAGGAAGAGTGGCAAAGAACCAAAGATGCTTGAGGTTCCGGGTAAACTTTTAGTTTTACTAAAGTAAAAAGAAACCATCAATAAATGACTCCAGTAAAACATATATTTGGTTTATTGAGTAACTGGTGAAATTTTCAATCATTTAATATTTAAAAACTACATCATCAAATGGACCTAAATATAATGTTAAGTGGAAATTTAGGTATTTTAATTCATATAATAATTCATGTAACAAAAAAAAATCAATTTGTTAATTTCAATAAAAATGAAAATGTAATCAAATCTGCAGGTGTGGATCTGGGGAATTTTTTGTTTAAACATGTTTTTAATTCAGTGGGTAGAAATCCAAGATACTTTAGTAAAATGACTCAAAAGTAAAAAGTACAGAGTAGCAAAAATACTCTCAAAGATACTTAAAAAAGTTACTCAAGTAAATGGAGTTAAGTAATAAGTTACTACCCAACTCTGGGTATTGGTCCATCTATCAGAAAAATTAGAGCACTTCTTTCTGCTAAAAAGCTTCATAGAGATAGAGATTTAATTTTCCAGCTCAATTGGTCAGAAACTCTTTGGACCTGCAGCAATTTAAAATCACAGGAATAAAAGCGCTTGACATAAAGTATATAAAGAATCCAAGAGTTGAATTTCTTTAAAATTTGATTTACGAACTGAAAGGCACATAATCATATTCAATACATCTTTTTCTTAAAGCCATTGGCTGCCATGATTATAAGGGTTAAATACATGGAGATTTGTACTTAAGTTTAGAAATAATCCCAGAATTACAAAGCAGAAATTGACCCATTTATTTCAAAGAACTCGCGCATCAAAAAGGCACGTTTACTGACATTTGTGTCAAAATACAATTCATAAAAACACCTAAATACAACCAAAAGCTCACATCATGGAGTAACAGACTAAAGCTGTCAAAAGTGTTTGATTATTTAATAACCAGTTTTATCAGCTCTACTGAATGGGGTTTAGGAGGAGAGTTAAACAGGCTGCAGACAGTCGATGTGAACCCTGGTGGTCGCACTGGTTGGTCAGAACCCCTTCTGTGCTCTGAGGTGGTCCGTTTACATTCCTCGAGCTAGTCTTAGAAAAATACAATCTTAGAAGTTCACAAAGAGCAAAAAGAAGAGAAATCACATAAACGATGGTCTGTGATTGATGACATACAGCATGGAGCAGACTGTAACCATTATACCTTTGAAAATAGGAATGTTTTAATAATTCATAAAGAGTTCATAAAACAGTTAAAAAATGCCAGTGATATCGGATATATAAATTATGCAACCAAAAGTTTAACAGAAACAAAAAAATGCTGTAATTCTTTGCAGTATGCTCAGTATTCATAAATATTTATCTTTTTAGAAAAAGAAGGACCAGCAGACCCTAAAGAGTTTGGAAACAAATTTACTAAAAAGCCCGATATGAATTCCCTGATCTCAATTTAGGTCAAACCATGATCTATATGACATGAAATGTGTGTAATTCTTTTAAAATTACATACGTTGGAGAATGAAAACACCAACACCAAGCTCCAGTTGTACCCAATTAATAACTAAAACGTATTTTGTCGGCTCAGACCCTCAATAGGGCGGCTGCGTAAGGAAAAGGAAAAAAAAAAACAGTTGGAATAAAGTACCTGTTTCTCCAAGAAAACACAAATGTGTTTTTTCAAACAAATTACTAGTTCAGTACACACATTTCTACTGAAATCAAAGTAACTGGTCAACTCAGACAGCAGCAACTGTAAACAGAAGAAAACTAAAAATTCATATACATATATATATAAAAAAGGACCTGAAAGCATTTTGACAGATGGAAAATATATATATATATATAAATATAAAAAAACAAACAAATTCACAGTACCTCAAAGTAAGCAAGTAATGTATTTTCAAAAACTAAAATACCATAATTGCACTTACTTTGCTTCTTTAATAAAGCGGTTAACCAAAATCTTCTCACATATAACTTAGAAGGCAACAGCTTGATCAGAGAGTACAAAAAGCTGGGAATGATATGACAGGAAGCAAGTGTTGAGCAAAATATTACGGGAACATAAAAAAAAAAAACACCCGAGGAATTAGAAAGGAGTAGCCTGGCTCTCTTTTTTCTCTTTTTGTGTATGGAAAGGCAAAACTCGTCTGTAGGGAAAGTTCAGTTTGCTGATTGTCGGTGGGTCCGGATGCTGCCATCAGCACCGGCAAGTTGGAAAAGGAGACATTCGGATATCCCAGGTGGTTTAGACCAACTCCTCCGAAGGAACAAACAAACGAACCAGCTCCTCATGTAAACAAAGCACACTTAAAGAAAGCATTGGTCTGAAGGGTCCACAGCCTGGGACAAATTCCCTTAGCAATTACTACAAAGTCAAATAGAAAGTTCACAGCTGCTGGTTTCTATGGGGCCGTCTGGCTTTACGTTGGATGCATTGTGCATTTGGAATATATATATTTTTATGTCTTGATGTGAGGGATCCTTCCCTGTTTTGGTCACATAATCACCAAAAGCTCCTTAGAAAGACCTGCTAACAAGGCTGAAGATGTACTCCGGTTTATTTGTGCTACTGGAGAGCTTGGCTGAATGTGTCTTCAAGCAGTGAGGATATGTTTATTTCGTCCACCTGCAGAGAGCCAGAATAGGTTTTAAATAAATAAAACACACAAATAAAAACTACAAGTGAGTTATTCCCTCTAGCAATATTGATGTGTGTATGTATATATATATATTGTCTTTTAAGCAAAAGGAAAATATGAAACAGGTCAATTAAAACAGGAAGTGGTTAAAAAACTGATGATTTCAGACAAAGAATTTTTTCTAGAAAAAGACTCAGACATGTTCTGAGTCTGATCTCATTCATTAATGATCTCACTCAACTGTTGTTTATTGCTCTTTGTATATTTACCATAGAAAATTAATTGACATTATTTCTTTTTAACACAACAGAAACTGTACAAATGATTATATAAACATCACAATACAGTTAGGATTTAATCCAGTTCAACAAAAAAAGCTATTTTGTCATCACAATTGGCTGTTTGTAATTTTTTTCATTTAAAGAACAGTGTGAGCCTGACACCTTCCCCACAAACACACAACCAAACAGGTTCCATGATAATAAAAGCCATAGTTTTTCACTGATTCTCAGTGGTTATAATGATATGCCAGAGGTAGTGAATGCATTAAATGCTATAAAGTAATGTTTTTCTTCTGTGTTAGGCATTTTTAGTACAGTTGGTTAGAAGTGCACGTTCTGCTGCAGCGTCACACTCACCTCACTGATCAAGCCCAGCTGCACCAACTCTCCCGCTAAATCTTTAACACTTTCATCTGAAACACAGAGCTGCAGTGAGTGACGCTGAAACCGTTTCAACACTGAACAAGTTAAACCACAGCAACATAATGATGAGCTCATGAAACTTTTTATACTTGAAGGACTTGCATGTTTAAGTATCAAGTACAGTATCAAAATATTTACTGTCGAAGTGAACTTTATTCAAATCATTACAAAAATAAAATGATGACTTGATTTTGGTTTTAAACCACGTGGCCTGGGGGCCAAATCCGGCCCGCCAAAAGCTTTGATGCGGCCCTCTAGACTGTATAAGGACATCAATAAAACTTTTAAGATAATATTTTGTATTATTCAAATCAAAGCAGTTTTTATGCCTTTACCATCAAATTAAATTAATGCGTAAAGCTAGTCCCATTTCAGGTAACTTCCAAAAAATACATTTTTGTAACCCAGTCTTATTAATCTTGAACTCCAGATGCATAGCAGTGACGAAACTGAACTAGGGTTGAAATCTGATTGGACCAGTGATTGGCAGATAAGAAATTCTTTCAGAATATCAACATCTTAGTGTGTCAGTGTGACTGATTAGTGTGCATGGCTGCAAGGACGTATCAAATTACCGTGTGCGTGTCGGTGGAATTATGGAGTGAGAGTGCAAAGGACGACATGTGGGGAGAAACGAAGCAGGCACCAAATGACTGGAAGTGCGAGCATAGATGCGAGACAGAGACATTACAGCCTCATAAGAGACGGGAAGAGGAGATGACAGCTGTCAGATGGAGCCTCTCAGGGTCCTGACATTCTCCACAGGTCTGCAGCATCGCGCATGCCGACCATACCTATCATACCTATGACAGAGCAGCAGACTCTACTGCCAACATGTCTCTTTCCAGTTAAATAATATTCTCCACATTGTGGCTTTTACCACAAGTAGTAACATACAAAAAGTGATCTGCTGCAGCACAGCTTTGAAAAATTTATGTTTTGAACTGAATATATTATATTTTGATATATTATGTATTACATTTTATAGATTTTTTTAAGCAAATGGACCTAAGAAAGGGTCAAATTTTGTTACTTATTCTTTGAGTATGACATGTCCTGACACTGAGACTTCTCTACTTCTCATGAATAAAGAAGTAAATAATAAGAAATCTGGTGTTCTTTAAATCACTCTTCCTATATATCACTCTTCCTATATAGTAATCTGCTCAGGCTCCAATGACTTGACCTTTATGAAACTGACCTTTTTT